TTTTTGTTGTACAGCTTTTCCATGACTATCTTGTTACCGTGATTTGTGCCCATGTAATTATGCTGTTTCGGTATTGGTAGTAAATGGACACAGCACAACCCGCTTGCGTCCTTCGTATTGGTAGTAACGGCATTCACTCATGTATATTATGTGGGGCGAGGCGGGGACCAAGAAGGTGGGTGAAGGAAAGTGGGTCAATAAGAACGAATAAGTGTGGATAACACCAATTTCGTTGCAGCCTTCTTGGAGAGTAGGATCTTGGCTCTCATATGGTGGAGAATCTTACAGGAACGGGAATACTGGGTCATCAAAGGTGGTAACATCGATAACGGCCGATAAGGAAGTTGAGATTCTCAGCATCACCAATTTCTTCGCAGTCTTTGTGGTGACAGCAAAACCGTATCTCCTACATTTTGCATAGGGCCGGCCGGATACAATGACGGTGAGTGGCATAAACTGATTTCAAATGACATTGACCAAAAAGCGGCGTTTGAATGCAAATAATCTTCTCGAACCACCATTGGTATACGATTGTTGTGGCAGGGTCCTGGTGGTGGGTGACAGAAAGTGGTATAGCGAATACTGTATTGGAAAAGTAGCCACAGTGTACACACTGTTGAACTACACCAGTTATTCAGCAAATAATCATAATCTACTTTTGATCCTTCAACAAGAAAACCAGAAGTTATTGAGTTGGGCCTGCGCCAATGTTGAATCTCCATCAGAGTTAGGCACTAGATGGTTTGTGGCGCATTTCAGTACTACATCAATGCTAATAGCGGAAAATGATTAAGACATTCGAAATTCATATGAATGCAAATGTTTTCAGAGTCATGTCAACTACTTCCACATGCTACTGCACGCACTAAGGGATAATTTTCAGAAACGTTGGTGCTTTGTCTAGCGGGTTTTTTTTCAAAGCATTTTACTAATGGTTTCTTGGTCATGTGACATAATATTCTGCGATTGGCCATTTTCACTGAAGCCCACCAATGCAATGCGATGCGCGCGGTTTGCATGCGGAGCTAAACTGGTATAAGACGGTTCTCACATTTCAGTTTGATATCTATGCACCAGAGGTCCGAGGTGTCTTTATCTCGTGTTTACGGATTTCTGCGAAAGCTCTCATGGATGAGTAGACCTGGCGTGTCAATAGCATTGGTTCGGTTGTCCTTCACAAGCAATACTGGTCCGACAGCAAAATTCTTCTCTTCAATGGAAACGTGCAACTAGTGAAGCCCGTAGCGGAATCGAGACAGCGACTTTTATAACCCTTGCTATCCTTTAAATTTGCTTGCAGCGGTTGTGAGTTAGACATTTCATGCCTCTAACCTTTCTTCTTGAGAACTATGCCAAAAACTTCTGCCGAAAAATGGGCCCGACAGCAGTTTTGGTGACCAATCGACGGATTTAGCGGGCTAAATCCCAGCGCTGCTCCGCATGTATCTTCGAGATTTTGCTCCTGGAATCACGAATACATTTCGTTCGCTTCCAGATCTATTGATGTTAGCAGATAAGCTATCGTACTTCTGGATGGTCGTCACCTGAAGTTTCGTGAAGACTGTGAATCGTCTTGCTTTGTAGTGCAATCAACCAGCTCGTTGGAGAAAAGGAGTAATTGTTCTCGAGGGTCAAAAGGACTGCTCATTCCGGATTTGGAACATCATCTGACGAACTGATCTCGAACTCGAGTCACCAAAATAAATACACAAAATACCAACACCTCTGCTGCTTATAAATAAAAACTGCAAGCGGCACGCTAATGCTACCGTAATTTTAGCCCGCCTTGTATTATTTTGAAAACCTGGCGCTGAAACGAATTTCGCCGTGTTCGACGTCTCCGAACACCAGCACTCCAAACAACCCGTATTGTTTAATGAAGAGGAACTGTTTCCTTGTAGGCATGTACTGATT